GGGGGGGAAGAAGCTGGAGGATTTTGGTTTCGTTACAACAAAATTACCCTATCCTGTCCGGACTCCTGGTTGATTGGCAGTCAATTTTCTATGGAAAACACACTCCCCCTTATGCTCCATTAGCGATGACTAATCCCCCTCCGTTCCCCTGAAAACCATGTGATCCCCAAATTCCTCCACAACCCCTCTCCCCCCAGGCATAAATCATGACTCGTCCTTTGTGAGGAAACCTAAGTTTACAAACCTCAAGATTTTTGTTAGATTTGCTCGTTGTAATTTAGATGTAACGGCAAACATAAGTAAATAAATTATTTGATTGATAACATACCGTACTCGACCCAGTTTCCTGGTGTACGTTCTGAAGTATCGAAAACTACTTACGTCATCTACGCACGAAACCCAGCTGAACAAGAGCGAAATTATTTATTTCAGCAATTTTAGTGCTGCTCTTCATGAGAAAGGTAAGAGTTCAGTTTATTCTTTTACCTTCTAGGCTTCTATCTCTAAGGAACGCAACAGCTACCTTCTCTCGCAGACGAAAACTGTGACATGAGCTACTGAAACCTTTTGCGAGCAAATGTCGTTAAACTGTGCGTGTTGTATTTAATACTTCCGCGATAGATAGGCCTTTTGAGCATCTTCAGTTTTCCTCAAACGCCTTCATAACGGAGAAATTATATTATTTTTTAGCGTAAGACTGTAACTACACGTTTACAAAGGCTTTACTACAAAGATAAAATGTCATTTGACGGCGCAACATACTGGTACACTTGGTTGCATACTTCGATTTCCTTGCGCATATTGCCTCAGGTTTGGTTTAGGAAGTACGTTGGAGAGGCTCGTTAAAGTTTTGCTTCGATCACATCTGAGGACTGAGTTCAGCAATGGTAGAACCATTTTCTCAATCTGTAAAGGCATGCTTAACGAAACTTCTCTTCTTTTTAGCTTTTTTTATCTCCTTAGTAAATAGCTGCACTACTTTCAGTTCAGTTCCGTTTTCTGTGATTTTTGATCGAATGAATGGCTCCACTCAAAGCTATGCAATCGTTGGAGAAGGTAAATTATTAGAGGCGTAAAAAAAAATATCCGCCTTCGTGTATCTAAACACATCAAGAAAGGTCACCGAATTTGACCCGTGCCAACTGAAAAAACTTACGAACTGTCGTCTGTTGCAATTGCTTATCGTTCGTTTGTGCATTGAAATAGGTTTGTTTCTTCAGCTGTTAGCCAGTATGAAAGAAGTTTCTGTGGAGTAGTTTATGTTTCTTAGATACATAAGTTTCATGGAAAGATTTCTGTGGAACAGATATTTTTAGAAAGATTTCTGTGAAATTGCATATTATTCTAAAGGACAGATCCGTAATGTCAAAGGTATTGTTTTTTTCATTGAGTTCTCTTTGCATAACTTGGGCTGTGAGGAAATCTTGCCATTTTCCTTAAAGTGCTACTGAAACGTAATTTTCATATCCGACATTTTTGCAATATAATAGAGTTTGAACGTTATTTGCAAACGCTGTGTACTTTTTTTGGGCCAACGCATACCGGAAAGTACATTTTTAAGCATTCGAAGTTGACCGGCTGAGATCAAAATTGGCGGCCATCTTGGCGCGGCCAAAACAGCCCTGTGACGTCACTGGTTGTGTACTTCTGTGAAAGAAGGGTAAAAGCATGGAGTGTGGCTTGCATGTTGGGAGGCCGAAAAAGAGGATTTCGGGCAAAATGCCATCCTCGTCTTATTCATCGGCGGCCACATCGGCATCTTGGCTATCTGCGAGAGGTTCGCCTGGATAGGGAGCAAAATTCCCGACTGATACCGAGAACGAATCTCTACCAGTCTATTTAGTTAATCGGCAACTGACGAGATCCACAAGATTAGGATCGAAACCGCGGTCTTGCCTGACCATCTACAGAAAAT